TTTTATAGACGCCATTGCGCACAAATGGAGCTATATTGGGCGCGCTAAATGGCCGTTTCTACTCGAGCACTCATGAGGCAGATTTGGTGGTGATCGGCTCTGGCCCTGGTGGTTATGTTGCTGCCATCAAGGCCGCCCAGTTGGGTTTGAAAGTAAGTAGAGATAACGAACTTCAGCTAATATATACATTCAACACGTTCCCACGATAGTCGGGTCTACGTAACCGGAACGACCCTGTTTTATATCTGGCCAAGGACTGTCAATTCAACATCACTCCCCAAAAACTCTTTGGGATTTTTGAATGCTGTACATACATTCTACAAATTTAATTGTTTTTATACTCTTCTAGACCGTAAGTGTTGAGAAAAATCCCACATTGGGTGGCACTTGCCTTAATGTGGGCTGCATTCCCTCGAAATCTCTGCTAAACAATTCGCATTACTATCACATGGCTCACTCTGGTGATTTAGCCAATCGCGGTATTAATTGTGGCAGCGTATCTTTGGACTTGGACAAACTTATGCAGCAAAAACTAAACTCGGTCAAAGCACTTACCGGAGGCATAGCACAGTTGTTCAAGAAGAACAATGTTACTCAACTTACCGGTTTAGGTACAATCGTCAATCCCAATGAAGTGCAAGTGAAGAAAGATGATGGCAGCGTTGAGACTGTGCAAACCAAGAACATCATGATTGCCACAGGTAGTGAAGTTACACCATTCCCCGGAATTGAGGTGTGTACTGACAAACTACTCATAACGATTATAATATCTGTGGTCATAAGCAATAATCGCCAAAGTCGAAAAACCTGAATTCCAGAAAAAACGTTTTAAACATTTGGACTTTAATGTTAACCTTATGGGGAAACCAAAATATGTTCGTCTATAACATTTGAAATTGCCTAGCTGGCCAGATCGGGATTTCATGTACACATGGAATAACAGTTGCAGAATACGATAGCATAGGTATATAACTCAATTCTTTCTTAAGTCGACTTAGGCGGTTATTGCTTATGACCACAGAAATATATACACTTGTGATCAGCTAATTAAGCCAGTAACGTTTTGATACATTTTGGCTATTTTGCTTTCGTTTATTTAATGTTTATTATTTTTCCATAAAAGTCTAGCTCATTATATAACAAACACCTTAGAAATCCAGATTTCAAACTGTGGGCAAAAATTATGAAAATTTAAATTTCAACTAAATTTTCAACTTTTTATTCAGACTTTTTAGAATTTTTTTGAGTATGCAGTTTAATAACCCATTAAATTCTAGGGCAATAATGTGCAAGTCTTAAGCTGCTAAAAAATCGCGTTGATTTTTAATACATTTTTTTCTGACTGCATTACAAATTTTTTACATACAAAATAAATTCGACAATTTTTTTTGTATGAAAAAAATGCGTCATGAATTTTTATAATTTTTCAGATTTTTCATAATTTTTGCACAAAGTTTGAAATCTGGATTTATGTAGCGTTTGTTATATAATGAGCTAGACTTTTATGGAAAAATAATAAGCATTAAATAAACAAAAGAAAAATAGCCAAAATTGATCAAAATGTTGCAGACTTAATTAGCTGATCACAAGTGTATATTGATTTTCACTTTGCGTGTCTCTTATCTGCTAGATCGACGAGGAAGTCATTGTTTCGAGCACAGGCGCGCTCTCACTCAAGCAGGTACCCGAGAAGTTGGTTGTCATTGGCGCTGGCGTTATCGGCTTGGAGTTGGGCTCCGTTTGGTCACGTTTGGGCGCTGAAGTCACTGCTGTGGAATTCATGACAACCATTGGTGGTGCTGGCATTGACACCGAAGTATCGAAGACTTTCCAGAAAGTGTTGACCAAGCAAGGCTTAAAATTCTTGTTGGGCACCAAAGTGATTGCCGCCTCTCGCAGTGGTAATAACGTAACCGTCTCGGTTGAAAACGCAAAATCTGGTGAAAAGCAAGACATAACTTGCGACGCTTTGTTGGTGAGTGTCGGCCGTCGCCCATATACTGAAGGTCTTGGACTCGAATCTGTAGGCATTGTGAAGGACGACAAAGGGCGTATCCCAGTAAATGGAACCTTCCAAACTATTGTACCAAACATTTATGCAATTGGTGATTGCATTCATGGTCCTATGTTGGCACACAAAGCTGAAGATGAGGGCATTATTTGCGTAGAGGGTATTCTAGGTGGACATGTGCACATTGATTACAACTGCGTGCCATCTGTGGTATACACACATCCGGAAGTCGCGTGGGTAGGCAAATCTGAGGAGCAATTAAAGGAAGAGGGAGTGGAATATAAAGTTGGCAAGTTCCCATTCTTAGCTAACTCGCGTGCTAAGACCAATAACGAGACAGATGGTTTTGTTAAAGTGTTAGCGGATAAGAGTACTGACCGTGTGCTGGGCACACATATCATTGGACCTGTAAGTAGTGAAAATTTATAGTGAGGTGATACTTTTTCCTCATACTTTTTTTTCTTAACATAGGCCGCGGGTGAGCTGATTAACGAAGCTGTGTTGGCCATGGAATATGGTGCTTCTGCTGAAGATATTGCTCGTGTCTGCCATGCCCATCCCGTATGATTTATACATATACATAGTGGAAACGTTCCTAATTATTTTTAATTTTTTTTCTTGCAGACCTGCGCCGAAGCTCTGCGAGAAGCGAATGTTGCGGCTGCCTTCGGAAAGCCCATCAACTTTTAATCTTAGTCAGTGCTATCTATATTAGGGAAGCAATAATCACCACTTAATCACTTAACATTTTGCTAAACACTCACTCTGCCTTTAATTTCGTGTAAACTTATTTATGAATTATATTAAAACAATTGTCGCAGAAATTGCGATTATTTTGCTCTGAATTCCATGTGAACAAATATTCCCAAATATTAAAAAAACGTTAAATTAAGGTAACGATTTAGTCACATGGATTTGGCGATACGGCTGAATATTTAACACGAAATGCGAAACATGTAACGAAATTAAAAGGTTTTATTTTAAAATAAATGGAGAGTATTGTTAGTATGTAAAAGGTTTTATTTTAAAATAAATGGAGAGTATTGTGCGAGAATCCGTTGAAGAAAGGATGATTTAATTTTGTAATGGGGTGGGTTGACTGAACGGGCTTACAAGCAGAAAATGTACATATATAAGAATTCAATCTGAGATCATCTCTTCCTATAGTAAAATGTTAAAGATCGTCAATCCCCAATATTTCACCTAAAATCCATTTTACAAAATTAACTACTACATACTTAAACAGAAAATAATTTTGCACTCAGTCTTACCATATCTGTTCTGGCACATGAATCATGAGATATGATACTTCCGGCTCTGTTGTTGTTGTTGTAGCAGCATACAAATTCCCCAAAGAGTTTTTGGGGAGTGTTGCTGGAGTGACAGTCCTTGGCCAGATATAAGTCTGGGTCCTTCCGGTTACGTAGACCCGACTGTCGTGGGAACGCTTCCGGCTCTGTTGTTGTTGTTGTTGTAACAGCATACAAACTCCCCAAAGGCTTTTTGGGGAGTGTTGCTGGAGTGACAGTCCTTGGCCAGATATAAATCTGGGTCGTTCCGGTTACGTAGACCCGACTGTCGTGGGAACGCTTCCGGCTCTGTCTATCTGCCCGCTTGTATTGACGTATCCTTATATTTAAAACATTTTTTTTTAACGTACAATATACTTGAAATTAAAATTTGTTATTTTAACAACTTTTATTTTCTTGAGTGTACCCTTGCTAAGATACACAAAGATACGAGAAGGAATTAAAATAATAGATTGAAATACTTATAAAAAATGAAGTCGTTTCATTAAATAAAGTTTTACATTGTCACGGTTTTCGCCATTTTTCGACAATCTCTGTTGAAAATAAACCCGCCCTATGTTGAATATCGTCACCGTCAGTAAAAGTGACGATACGGTCATCTTCAGGCGCTGACGATCGTCGTCGATGGGGATGACGATATTCAGCATAGGGCCGAATAGCATTTTGAAGGTCCAAAGTAGTAGAGAATTTCATTCTCCAAAACTTTTATACCTACATTTTTTTTTGTACGACGCTTAGATCACGGCCGGGAACGTGCCAAACATAGCGATGTAAGGAAAGCGGGGTAAAATTTATTTCCATATAACGTCCACCGGTACAGTACAATGGCCAAAATTTTATAGGACGGATTACAAAGATTAAGGTCTTAAAGTGATCACATGGACACCCTCCTTTAAAAACAGTGTGGCCTTTTGAAAAACTCAACATGTCGTCTAATCTAACCGTAAATTAGATTTTGTTTTACAACTTTTGAGCTACCGGAGAACCCAATAATAAAATAGAAAAAATAACAGCAGGTTCTTATGTTTTTGGGGTTGCTGATTACGAAGCTAGGGCATTATTTTAAAAATTCATAATGGCGAATCCAATATGGCGGCCTAAAAATTAAAATCGATTCGATCCGCTGGAAATGTTTTCCTCTAGGGTTCTTGGGGCCGCTTATTACGAATCTCAGGTCAGGTTCTTATGTTTTTGTGGTTGCTGATTACAGAGCTAGAGCATTTTTTTTTTAATTCAAAACCCAATATGGCAGCAAAAAAAATTAAAGTCGATCCGATTTGTTTGAAACATTTTCCACGTTGTGCAATCACAATTTGAAAATTGTATATTCGTAAAATTTACGTGTATTATGGTTCTAGAGTTAAATGTGGGAAATTAAATTCTCTACAAATTTTTATTTAACAATATTTTACGGAAATAGAAGTAAATTGCATCAAAAAATCGCTGTTACAATATTTTTTGAGAAAAAGTCCAATTTACTGAGCTATCATAAATTCCTCAATTCCACACAACGAAAATTGCTGCTGTCATTACATGGCAACACCAACTGTCAATGGAAAAAATTGTACAATTCAGTTTCAGTTCAGAAAATTTCTTTTGGCAAAACTAATCCAATTTTAATAACTAAAAGCATAAAATACAATATATATATTATATTTTCGTTTTGTATACATCATAATGAATACATTAAGGGTGTTGTCAGGTGTCGCAGCTCGAGATGCATTGCGTGGGAGCAGCACAATCTTTCTGTTGCAACATCAGTCGCGAATGGGTATAGCTATGCCTTCCGTGCAGAGATCCAAGGAAGTTGTTGAGGTATGAGCTAATTACTGTTAAAATGTTACAGTACTTTAAATATGAATTTACACCTTATAGAATACTGAATATCCACGAAAAGTTTTCTCAGGCATACAGCCTACCGGTGCATTACATTTGGGCAACTACCTGGGAGCGGTACAAAATTGGACGAGACTGCAGAATGCCAAAGAGGATGTATCTTTTTGCATTGTGGACATGCACTCGATAACAGTGCCACAGGTCAGTCTTTCAACCAAATGAAAAGGTAATCTCAATTGTAACACGGTTATTAAATAAGTGGATTTCTATATTGTGTTGCAGGAACCAGTAACTCTACGGGAAAATATCTTTCAAATGGCGGCGGCAATGTTGGCTTGTGGTATTGATCCAGAAAAATCCACACTATTTGTGCAGTCGGCGGTAAAAGAGCACGCAGAGCTGTCGTGGATTTTGGGTTGCATGACAACCATGGCACGGCTTGGCCATCTGCCTCAGTACAAGGAAAAGACGCGCGCTGTTAAAGAAATCCCACTTGGCTTATTTGTTTATCCTGTGTTGCAAGCTGCAGATATCCTGCTTTACAAGTGCGTAAAATGTTTCTATGTCCAATTTATTTATTGCTTCAATAAAATTGCTATATTGCAGGGCCACTCACGTACCCGTCGGTGAGGATCAAGTTCAACATATACAACTCACTCAGCATTTGGCTCGCACATTTAATACCAAATACGGTAATACATTTCCCATATGCCATGCTGTAATTAGTGATAAGTCTGCTGCGCGCATACGTTCCTTACGGGATCCAAGTAAAAAAATGTCAAAGTCTGATGTTGATCCAAAAGCTGTTATCAACCTCACAGACGAAGCAGATGTGATTATCGAGAAGGTGAAGAAGGCAGTTACAGACTTCTGCTCGGATGTACACTACAATCCTGAAACACGTCAGGGCGTAAGCAACCTGATAGCCATACATTCGCTACTCTCTGGCAAGAGTGTGCAGCAAATTTGCGAAGAAGCCAAAAGTATTGATACTGGCAAATATAAAATGCGTGTGGCAGAAGAGATTGTGGAGCATTTACGGCCTATACGAAATAAAATTAATCAACAACTGGTGCGACGCAATGAATTGGTATATGTGCTAGAGATGGGCGCTGAGAAAGCGCGCGAAAAAGCTGCTGCTACTCTGGCGGAAGTGAAACAAAAACTAGGCATGGGAGCGTGTACTAATATGCCACTTGTATTAGAGCAAAAGGAGGAAGCGGCGAAAATGATGGCGCAACCTAAAAGGGCAGCAGTTGAACTGAAAAAGATTGGTGACGTAGAAGTGCCGGTGGTACCGAAGCAGCAATTGCGCGTGGAGAAGAAGCAACAAATGCGCATTGAAATCAAAACGAATTTAGATCTGGATTTAGCAGCACCACCGCTATTAGCTGTTAAACCGGTAGCGACAACAAACAAACCAGCAGCAACTGACTCATCGGCAGTGGTCACCACCAAAGCTTTGGTACCGAGAAAAGTGGACGCCAACTAAACGAAGATGGACCAACAGCAAAATATTAAGATTTAGGGAATGGTTTAGCAAAATTGTTAGTATTGACATTCAGGGAGGTTCTGCAGTGAATTTCAAACATTGCCAAATTGAATTTAAAGCGAGTTTTTTTTTTAACTCACTCGGTAATGAATTACAGAACCAGCCTGAATAAGTTGTTAATATTCTCTATTTGTTAACTTTGTGTGTGAGCGAGAGATTATTTCAATTTATAGTGTCCTAGGTTATTTTAAGAGCGTTTACTTTTTTTCTGCGTTTTGTAAAATATTTTTAAGTAGGTGAATGTATTTGCTGCGTAAACTTAAAAAGAGGAGCAGCAAAACGACGCTACTTAAGCTTTAAACTATCAAATTAGATAATGATGATTTTTTTTATTTAAATTTTATTGTAAATTACATACAAATGCGGAAAATAAATGTGCGCTTTCGGAAAACTATTGTTTTCATAGAATTTAAAAATATGTTTATCGGGGTTTCGTTTTTCTTTTTTAATATACATATACGTTTATGTTAAGAAATTGCATTAATACCTTATTAAGGTGGATTCATCGTTTTAGTTCTGAACTCTTTCTTCCCTCTCATAGTTGGAGAAACACAACAACAACCACATGGAAAAAAGTTTTGAACTAAAACGATGAATCCGCCTTTAGTTTTTAACGCAGTACAATTCTCTTTTCACACAACATTCCCCAGACAGCAACGCCTTTTTATATGGCCATTGAAAGGTTCATATGTACATATTCGCGTCGTAAATTTTGCTGTTATTACATATTGCAAAAGCAAATTGTTAGCATTTAGCATCCTCGTTTGAACCACGATGCACATTGCTGCACTTGCCTTAAATCGGTGCTATGCGTCCGCGGCTGACAATTGACTTGTCTCGATAAAGAGTATCGGCGAAGAGAGAAAATGGAGTGGGCGGGCAAGCAAAATGTCTGGTTACTTCAAACAGGTTTTGCAAAGAGCATTGCCCCAAATGCACAGATTGTATGTAGCAGCTCTCTCTTTGCTTAAAACAAGCACATCATTCATACGCCTAGATGCACGCTACATATATATATGCGTGAAGGTGAGATATTTGAAACAAGAAAAAAAAAAACATTTGAAAAAAGCAGAGACCCAAAATAATTATTATCCTTATATGTATTTGAGATCGAAATCGGCGCCTTGTTTAAAAATACATTTTTTTAGTCTTTGTATAATAATTGCTTACGAGAAATATCTCTTTTCATCTCGCGGGACGATTATTTTCAGATGGAAATTATTTACGTCTTTTCATAATAATTATGTAGGATTTTTATTTTTCTCGTCTCTCGGGACGTCTATTTTAAGACGAAAATTATTTACGTCTTCGCATAATAATTATTTCGAACGTTTATTTTTTTCATCTCGCGGGACGTTTATTTCAATACGGAAATGATTTACGTCTTCTTATAATAATTATGTGGGACTTCGAATTACCTGTGTACTTAAGGTGATAATTGCTGTAGTACTGTGCATTTGCAAACAGGTATCTGATCCGTTGCTGACTTCTGTAACATCGAAGTAGCGGAATTTTCCGACAGTGGGACCAAATATGCCCTAGCTTGCAAGGCAAGTCATAACCTGTTCATAGTATTTTTTGTACTGCGGTGATATCAGCTTTGTCTTTTTCCAGGACATCCAACAGATGGTTGGGAACACATTCTCTTTGTGAATTTACATGCTGAGCTGAGCTTCCTCCTGCTAAATTGACGCTGTGCATTTCGGTGGATCCTTCAACCGATAAAATCCGATTAATCCACCAGAGCTCCCTCTAGCCATTGAAATCACAAAAGTAACAAATACCAAACAATAAAAAACTAATTTAAATAGATTTTTCACTCTTTTCGTTATTCTAATCACTTAAAAAGGTAAAGTTGTGTTGCCTTCTTAAATGTAGCTCACCGTAAAGTCGACTTGTGCCCGTCGCTTCGCTCCCATTTTATACACGTACGAGTTAAGAGCATGCAGAGAACCCCCAAATCGCCCACACACATATCCATACACAAGTACTCCCATATGTACGTGTATGCATATGTATGTATGTACTATGTGCTGAGTGCATCCGCACAAATGGCCTGCTAGTTAGTTTGCCTGCACGATTAGCCGGGTTGTTAATAACGTTGGCTTTGAGAGCTCCACAGTTTGCGGTAACTATTCCAAGCGTTTGGTGTTTGCTTAGCGGAAGTCGTGCGTCAAGGTAAAGAAAAAATATTCGGCAAGTGCAACTAGTTTTGGAAATGGCTGTTTGCAACGAGTAATAAAAAATAAAGAAAATAATGAACGTGTCGTAACCAAAGTGACTTGGCAATAAAATAGTAATTAAATGATGAAAAACTAAATTTTAACGAATAAAAGGTGTTGTGCAGAGTTGAATACATAATTGTACAGAAATGTGAGTGCGAAGCGTAAATAAAAACAAAATACAAAGCATTTGCAAAGCAAGCATGTTTCCAACAACGATTTGATGATTGTTTGCCTACAAAATTAGTAAAAAGGTCTAAGTAAAAAGTGTTTGGGGAAAAAAGACTACAGTGATTTATATTTTGAAAGTACTGCATCAATGTACATAAATGTTTGTAGTAAATGTGCAATCACTGCGATTTATCTAAGGTGTTCACGAACTACATATTTAATACAAAATCAGTGGCCAACAAGCTGCAGTAATTGGCTCTTGAAATGTTTAGAAAAAAGATTTGAGCGAGCAGGTACTAAATGTGTAAGTTTGTGTGTGTTAATGTAAAGTGAAAGCCGAATTTTTATGCTACGCATCGAAGAGCAAATCAAAGCAGACACAAGATATGTATGAAGTTAAATGGAATAAATTTATTTATGAAACAAAAACTTTGCTGCATTTGATAATGACTTGAGTTCATGTAGATACATACATATGTATGTACCAAACTCAATGGATTGTAAAGTGGCTAGTCTTATGGCGCTTTCGTTTCTACAAAAAATGTTGCCTTCTCATTGCCCGCCTCTTAGTATTTGTGCGGCAAAGAGAAGGTAACATTATCGGTAGAAACGAAAACGCCATTAATAAATCTCAAATAAACGACTCATAATAAAAAATTAATATTGAAAATAAATGTTTTCGAAATGCACACTAACATGTTTTTTTTTGTAATTTTGCAACTACATATCGCTCATTTACTTCAGTAGCGTCATAATTCAAAAAAAAAAAACAAAGCTCGAGAGAAACGGCTTTAAACTTTGAACTAGCTGCCGAGATAGGTGATCTTCCACTCAGGTGTCGATATATCGCACACCGTCTTCAAAAGGGTCACAACTCAAAATTTGACATTTTTGGCATTTTTGGAGCAAATTTTTGTTATAATTTGTTAAAAAAAAACTTAAGGTAAAGTCGCTCTTGCCCATATGATTATCATGTGGTAAGAATGTAAGGTTTTCGCATATTCTGACAAACGTAGATATTATTTTGAGTTGTGACTCTTTTGAAGACGGTGTGCGATATGTACTCTCATAGTAAAAAGGAGTACATACATATGTACATATATATTTGTTTCTAGTGAGCTATTGGTAATCGATATATCTATGAAATTTTAACACAACATAGAACAAGAGGTAGCGGTAATTTCTGCGTATTTAACTCAATATTTGTATTTTTTGTAGGTCTTTTGTGCCCTAAGCTCGTCACTACATAAATCGCTTGACTAGATTCCTAGCTCAGGCTCAGGTGGTCTCTCCTCGTCTAAATACCAGTAATAATTCTTACATTCTCCCCTTGGTGTGGCTTATCAGTAGCCTATATCTCTTTTGATTGTACCCCCTAGTAAATAAGCTTTGAAGCGATGACCCATGGCGTTTTACCAGTGCAGTTCCCTCAATTCGATATTTTCCATTCTGAGCACTTCCTTCATAGTGATAGGCCGTACCGCAAGGGAGGACTTCTCTACTATCGGGTCATTCTGACTAACTGATTATCTTCCTCATTCTCCGACTGCTATCACGATCCAAAAAATAAAGGTCGCGCCATTCTATCATTCTTGGACTGCTATGTGCCCCGGTGCCAAAAACAATTTGATAGAATTGCCCTCAGCCAGGAGATTTACCACACACTCCAAGCCCAATGAGCATTTGACTTCGAAGATGCGAGAGTCCTAAGTGCCACCGCAATATATCCTAATAAAAGAATCCTCTCCCTTCGATAAGTCCTAGGAAGGTTAGACTTTGCAATGATGGCATAGAGTTCCGCTTAGGAAATACTTGGGGAAAAATCCCAAGGGCACTAAAAGCTTCAGTCTGGGTACATATACGCCTGCACCAATACCCTCTATGCACATGGTCTCTGGAAACAGAACTAGTGGGAGCGGGCATCTAGCTTGTCCTTGTTTCTAGATGATAAAACCTTGCCCTAAGAGATGAAACTTGGTAAAAGTTTGTGACAACACAAAATTGGTAAAGAAAACAATTACATAACTCAGCCAATTCAATTAAAAGTAAAATAAAACTTCATAGAATAAAACAAAAAAATACAATAATTTTTAAATTTATTACGCTCTACGCAGATACATAGGATATACTTAACATATTTACTTATGGAACTAATTAGAGGTCTGAAAAAGTAAGCCAAATTAAGATTAAAAAAAATCGCAAATAAACAAGTTATAAAACCACAACAACAAAAACAACGAAAATTCAGCGACAATATTAAAAACAATACCAAATCAGCAAAAAGTAAAAAACAATAATTAAATGCAAAGAAATCACATAATTGATAAAATAAAACAACAAATCTCCATTATTAGCTGAAAAGCTACCTGTTCACTCGCTTGCGTGCTCAGTGCATATTCACTCCCGAACGCAGTTACTCACTGTGTATCGCTCTCTCTTTTCACATACCAGGTCAAACACAAACTTGCTCGACGCTCAAATAATAAAGTGCTGCTGATCTAAACAGGTCTCCAGTATTTTTCTTGGCGGATAAACACGAGTGTGTTTTGTGACGTAAAAAATTATAATTAAAATAAAACTTTATAAGCAACCAGTTTGCCAAAATATACAGTGCAATCAAACATATAGCTTATTTTTGCAGTGAAAAAAAAACACAGAAATCTCGCAAGTGTATACAAATCTGTTGAACGCATATAACGCCCCCAAAAAGTTGATGTCATTGAATGTCTAAATTTTTGTGTGTAATTTACTATTTACTAACTAAGTGCACAGCCGAGTGAGCTAATTGAGTGAAAATATATAATTTACTTGTGTAAGCGCATATCCAAATAAGAGCATCAAAATTTAAAGATCTCCAAGCGAAAGAGTGCACTGAAAATACCTAGTGTGAGTTAAAAATTCTCAAACGCATCCGATATTTTGTTATTTGTGCAGTGTTGTATATCAAGTTTTGTGTCTACATACTTTTGTTTTTGTTTCACATTCAACAAGAACTCGTTTCTGTTGGTTAACAATCGTCACTCGCGGATTTTCGTTTACCTGGGCAATTGTCGGTCAAATAAGCGGTCAAAAGGCAAAGTAATAACTACCAAGATATTCTTGTTGGATTCGGAGTTGATTTCGTTGGATAAGGTAGGTAAAATTTTATGCATATTTACATTAAAAATGGTATTGAAATTATAAATGAAACTTGAAAGAAAGGGAAATAAATTGATATACATATTCCCAAGATCAAATCATATAAAAAATTTTGTTTTACAAAATCTTTGACTCCTTCTGAGGTTCTCGTTTCACTTAAACATAAAACTAGCGAAGCATATACAATATACATATGTATGTATGTATATGTGTGTACATACCTTTGTATGTATGTCCGTGACCCCGCTCCATCTACAATATGTATATATACGGTGACCAGATTTTTGTGGAAAAAATCGGGACATTTGTAGTGCATCGAATACGAACATACAATTTTTTTTTTAGAATAAAAAGACATTATTTAAAACAAAACAAAGAGAAAAAGACTTGAAAAATGATCGCAAAAATGTGTACTCAAAATATATGCGGTGGCGGGAATTTCAAGAGGGAAGAGATATTTTGGTAAATTTTCGAATATACTTTGTATGGAACAAAACGCGCGAACAAAATATTTCCAAAAATCAATGGTAAGTCGCAAGCTACTTCAAATTTGCCCCTTGAACTGAATGGGCATACTCAAATCACTTCTAAAAAATCTGTTGTTGGCAGTTTTTGGATTCGCGCTGCCCGGTTGCTATCTGAGACCAGAAGCCTATGTGCCTATGTGCCAACGATTGTATCCACTTAAAAACTTATACTGATCCAAAATCATATAGAACGTGGACCATTTGGTCTATGACTTCCTGTTGCTAGAGCCAAATGGAACTCACATAAATACTTCACAGCTACTCCCAGCATTCAGCGAGCCTATCCACGGCTCCCAGAAATATATTTTAGCAACACTACCCACAGTAATATCGATCGTTATACTTGCCTACTTTCAAGACCGCAAGACCATAAAGTTCCTGTCCTACTCGAAGAACCGTAATGGCTGTGCAGAAGTTTTATTCAGTGATCAAGCTTCAACACGCCCGAAAAAATGCGCGCGCCAAGCGTAGAGTGAACTGAAGGTTGTACATGATGCAAATCAGGAGAGCCTCCTACTTTTATCAGCGGTGAAGTTCGGGTGGCCTTCGAGTAAGCACAAGCATCTAAAACCATTTGTCCCGATAGCATTCTGATGCTGCAAAAATTGGCTACGGCGGGAGTAAACTATCTTAAATATCTCGATGATCACTCCCGTTATGTGTGATATGTGGAAGGAGGGAGAGTGTAAAACCGGTGAAATCTGCTAAAAAGGGAAAGTTTTATCACCTGGAAACTCTCCTTTCTCCAGTGGTGAGGCCGTTTAATTCCCATACTTTTAACTACCGTACTTGGGCATAATCACGGCTACCACAAAGCGCATAGCTTCATCACAGCCACCGCTGCGTAAGAATCAGTAATCAGTTCGGTCAGTAGCGTCAATTCTGTCGAAAGCCTTCAACATCGTTTGTCACTACACCCTACTTGAAAACACGAAACCGCGAAATCGAAATAGACTTACTTGGCAAAGTCAAAGAAACGTTGTTGAAGAAAATCAGCCAATTGGTCCGCCGGTCCTCAACCGGGGACCAAGAGGATGCACTGGTCGATACCACAAACATGCTACTATGCAGTACTCCGGACAGAGCGTACATGAAACAGCCAACTGCTCCGATGCTATACCGACAGGAAATCAATAAAATTCAATTAGAGTCCATAATCACCTTCACTAGCTCTTGCCCCATGCATCACGAATTGCATAGGACCTGCAGTTGCCTAAGGAAGCGCCGTGTTGCCCTGGCGCAATTACGGTTTGGATACTGTAGATTACGTTGGGTTAGGTTTGAGTGGCTGCCAGTGAACCCGTTAGCACAACTAGGATCGTAATTGTGAGCCCGTTGTGATACCACGCGGGTAGTGAGAACCCCCCAATACACAACCCATATGTAGAGTCTGCGTAAGTCTAAAGCTACCTTATTCCTACTTTGATTGCATCGGTTGGATCCTCAAAAAAAAAGTGATCCCATGAACCTTCGTATTCGGCTACATTTGCGCAGCAGAGGTTAAGGTCCTCGCTTAGGAGCTCCCAGCTAGGCTGATCCTTAGTACGGAAATGCTTACGGCCTTGAACCAGCGCCTAAGTATTTCTAGACCATGATCAAGGTCTTTTTCCGTATGAAATAGCGATTGATGAGTGCATAAGCACAGCATCCTCCCACAGTTGTAAAGGACTCCTCTGTAGTGCCGATTTCCAGTCTGTAACCTCGCGGAGGGTTCAGTCCAAGAATTTTTACCAAACTGGGTACCGCAGCAAGTTAAACTCCTACTTATCCAGACTTGACTTATAGATAATGCTAGTGACGCTAACCATCTCGTTACAGGGGACAAGTAACAAATAACAAGTAACAAAGCCTAATTAACTAACACCTATTTCCCTTTGGTCCGACCCCGTCGAGACAATACTTTTCTTGGGCTCTACGATAGTTGAGATCTAGTACGTTGACGATTGAAAGAGTAGCTGACCTGGGCAGGGGTAACTTTCCGTTATAGCGAACCGTCTACAAGCAAAGATTCTATAAAATTTTGTATCTAAAATAGGCTAATTGTAAAACCAAAAATTTTTAAAGCAAGCTTTCGAAATAAGAAAGAAATCGAACCATAGTGGTTGTAAATCTTGTAAAATTATATGAGTTTGATTTTACCGAATTTTACCTTCAAAGCTTTAATTTTAATAAAGAGAAAAACTTAATTTTAGTTCCTTAAACTATGCACTTGGTTGCACTAAACATTTGTTTGCGAAATAAGCTTTCGCCCATAAAAAGCGAACACCAATGAATATCAATGTGGGAAAAAGGTGCAGCTCTTTATATTCATAAGCGCAACATAAAATTAACATTTGTGCAGAAAAATCTGCTTCGAAGCGCGCTAGCTCATGAAGATTATCGCCATTCGGAGGGCAAAAAAGAAGACATGAAAGAAAAATATGGCGGTTCCCTAGTATGTGCCAAGATATGTAGTTGCTATTACTCTTCTCCATGCCAAAAGAGAGCTTGCAGCGATAAAACTAAAATGATGGTGCATTGAGTGAGCAAACGAACAAGTTGCGAAGTATCGTTAAAAGGCGGTTGGCGGTAGTGGTAAGGCGGTGGCGGTAGTGGTAAGGCGGTGGCGGTGTTGGTCCGTACCAATTGACGATATCGCCAGCTTTAGTGGCTATAAAAATGGCAACAGCTCACAAAACCGTATAACCGGCAACAAACGCTACGAACATAACAGAAGCAGAAGCAGCAAGCAACAAAACGAAGCCACACTAAAATTGGTAACAGTTGTTGGTAGCTGTGTTGATTTTGCTGTTGCTGTTACTGTTGCTCTTCTCTACTGTCTCTAATTATGTTTCTTGACGTTTTCTATTATTAATATTGGTGTTATTGTTGCTGTAGTTATGTTTGTAGTTAATTGTTGTTGCTGAGCAGCTGCTGTCACACACCGTTGCACACAAGCATGCATACTTAAGTGTGTAGTAGTTACCTATGTACTATTTGTTGTGATTTGAGGTTTGAAACGTCTAAAAGTTGGTTGAGGTTTTCTAATTTTGCTGTTCATCGCTTACTGTTACTGTTTGGTTGTTTTCACTGTTTTATGCTTGTCATTTCATGTTGCTCTTCTTATGCTTGTGCTAGTCTTCGACATGGTTTTACGTTTGGTATTTGTGGCTTTTTGTTAATTACAGTTGTGTTATTTCTAATTTTCTTTTCACGTTTTACTGCAATTATGTTTATACAGCTACATGTAAGCAAAATATTTTTATGTTGCACGTGTAATGCGGTTCATTCCTCTGATTTCGGTTTATTTACTAGATTTAAGGTTTTCCTCTGGTTGTTAAATTTTGTTTTATGTTTTTTGGCAGCTTTGCTTTTTAGCGTTTTGTAAACATACCACTATGTAGTAGTCATCGTTTAAGTGCCTTTATTTCGGCTTCGTGTTTGTTGAATACCCTTTCGATTAAACTTTTTATTTGTTCAGAGGTTAATATTAGTGAAATTGTATTTAGGTAACAGAGAGTTGCTGTACTGTGTTGTCAGTAACCTTTGACCGAGAGCTTGCGCACCTGGCTCGCTATATAATAACACATGATAAAAAATGTATTTTTCAGATCCGAAATCGGGAAAAATCAACCCACGCCAACAAATAGTCTTAATACACCTTCTTTCATCAGTCCCAGATCTGTCAGCGAAATCTCAGGAAAGGAAATTTTTATGGGTGACCAATGAAAGAAATGGCCCCCACGAACAGAATTCAGGGACCAAGCGCAGCTTCGTGAAGAAGAGAGGCAATTGGCGAAGTTTTTTGGTCTTTGGTGGTTCAAACCGACAAACGGTTGTGGTGCCAAGTAAGAAGAACTCTGTTTTCAAAACCAGTCGTAAGTCAATTTCAAAATTTCTCACCAATAACTTAACTTCTACTGCAGAAATTGAGTTTTTCTCGCCAAACTGTGGGCGGACATAGTCTGAAAATCTTCCAATTCGAGGGGATGGTTTTTATTGCGAACTTTCTGCGAAGCTATTCAGCCTCATTGCGTAAGTCGTAAATTCGGATAAATTGTACGACTTGACAACATTGGCACTTTCTACTGCCGTGCTGAAAAACCAAAAGACGAAAATCGTCGAAAACTATGCAGTGCTGCCAAGTTTTTTCAGTTTTAATACACTAGTCGAGTGGAAATTGTAAGCAATGACGTGAAATTTCCGCTACGATTCGTCTCTCGAAAAACGACTTGCATTCAACACGACTTTCGCAATGAGGGTGATAGACTTACAAAAGGAGGTTTTCGATCATTGTTGACCATAAAACTATCTGCTGATCACGAAATATTCAGCCTTATTGCATAAGTCGTAAATTAGGCTAAATTGTACGACTGGATAACATTGGCATTGTCTACTGTCGTGCTGAAAAAAGTAAACGACGAAAATCGTCAAAAACTATACTGTGCTGCCAAGTTTTTCTGTTTTAATACACTAGTCGAGTCGAAA